TGGCCTCGCGCAGCGCCGGGGAGCTGGTGCAGAGCCTCAAACTCATGGGCCTCTGCCTGGGCTCGCAGCTCCGCGGGGGCACCAAGTACATTCTTGACCCGCAGCACGGCCTGTCCTTCTCCAGCGTCAAGGTCCAGGAGAAGTCCACGTGGAAGATGTGCATCAGCTCCGCGGGCAACCTGGGCCAGGCCCCCGTGGTGGGCAGCCTCAAGTTCTTCTCCGACCACGTGGCGGACAGCACCACTGAGCTAGAACGGATACAGAGCAGGAACCTGAAAAACAACGTGCTCCAGCTACCTCTGTGCGAAAAGACCATCTCTGTGAACATCCAGCGGAACCCCAAGGAGGGGCTGCTGTGCGCCTCTGGCCAGGCCACCTGCTGCCACGTCATCTGACAGTGGCTGCCCGGCCACGCTCACTCTTCCTGCTCAAAGCAGTGAAGACCGGCTCCCTTCACTGTTTGCTCTCGGTTTTACCCTCCCAGCGGGCAGTTATTTATTACGCTTCCCTTCGTTCGCCTGGCGCTGTGACAATGCATGGTCCTTGTGCATGCTGCTGCTAGACACTGCTTTTCCGTTCCAGCCGAAAAGTCAATCTCGTGTGTCACTTTTACATTCAGAATTTTAGTGTGGATGATCAGGATTAAATTAAAATGTATATTTGGAACCTAATATAAATGGAGCACTTAGAAATTTGATGTTCCGCACTTAACCTAGACAGAGAAAACATGCTTGTGTTTCCTTGTTGAAAAATCTAAATTCCTGTCCTGACCTTGTTACGCGGAGACTCCGTGCTCTGGGGCACACTCTGGTGTCCGATACAGAACCAAAGCAATAACAGTGAGATGCCGACAGGCCTGGAGCCCGCGGACGTGCCCGCCAGCTTTCCGAGGCTGCGCAGGACAGAGTACAGCCAACGTCTGCACTAGAACCTTAAACCGAGATTTCAACACACCCACACCTGTTTGTCTTAAGCTATAGTGTGAAAAAAGTTTGGGCTCTTAAAAATTAACTGAAAAAGATTTTCTTGTTTTGTAATAGGTGAGATAAAGTACTTAGATTTATAAGGCAGCTTCCCCTGTAGTGGTAAATGACAAGCAGACAATCTTCTTTTGTAATGTGTGAACTGATGATGTCTTAACTCTACTTACAGAGTGTGTCTGTGTAACAGAACAAAATGACGCTCGTGTAAACTCCTTCCCGCAGGGCACCGCCCAGGTTTCCTTCAGAACCATGTAGATAGAAGAAACTGTAGGGCTTAACGTGGAGGCCAAGTGCACTCAGAGGTGGGCAGAGTCAAAACCCGGTCATTGAGAAAAACATATATAAACACATATATGTATATACATGGGTTGATTTTTACGAGTTTGGTAATTAGGTTGTCTCTTTTGTTACTTCCATTTTATATCCTTTAGCTCAATTAGCTATGACAATTGGCTAATCAAAAAATACACATAGAAGGGTAGAATCCACACAATCAACAAACAAAACCTGCTTCAGTTTTGTTTTTTTGCTGGAAATATTTTTCACTTTGCCTTCCTGCCAAAACAATAATCAAGAACTCTTGCTTTAAACTATTCCTGTACAGAGACTCCTTTTGACCAGATAATCATCTTTCGAGACAAATTTTATCTGTAGGCACAGTGTATTGCACATTGCTGATTGCGGAAGGGGCCAGATGCTACTTTTCTATGCTGTGCCCCGAGGGGTCTTAGATGCTTAGCTGCATTGGTGATAGGATGCGGCTGGGCCCGGGCCTTCCCACGCTCATCAGCCTCCAGTGAGGTGTCTGGTCCACACAGTGGCGGAGCCCCAGGGGACGGCATGCCATTGGGCAATGCCTCCAAGTGTACACTGACCTTGCTACGTTAGTACCCATCTGTTTTACTCAGAGCTCTGAATTTCACTGTATACTTACTAGACTAAGTAAAGATGATACTTCAAATACTTTTACTTTCTAGGCCTAGGCTAGATGTGTTTTAAGCTATAGCTCTAGTTCAGTGTGATATTTATCATTGAAAGCTATGAGAATAGGTGTGTGGGTGAAGCCATAGAACACATTTGCTTGAAATTCTTGAGCAGGGATCTTATAAAGGGCCAGAAATAAGATGTGTGGTTCACATAGACAGTGAGCGTAACATCTGTATTAAACATAGGAGAGAAGTTTATAAAGGGCATTGGCAATAAACTCTTTGTTGCAGCTGTTTTCCAAGCAATGTAAATACTTTTTCCTGTGATTATGTATAGCCTTGGAATGGCACATTTGAACCCGTATGTGTTCGGTTTTCGTTGTGTTTTTTATATTCAGATGTATATATGGTGCTCACTCTAGGATCAGCAGTGTTGACCATTTATGCTGCATAGCTGTATTATAGCCTTATTAGTGGTGTGTGGTTGGTTGGCCCTCTGGGTAGACAGATGTTTGTCTGAGTGGTGTCTTACTCCTTTGTTCCTAAGTGAATGACTGTGCATGTGTTGTATGTCATAGTATGTTGTCCCATAAAAGAGAGGGAGCGAATAACCATTACATTAAGATAATATTGGACCAAACTACTTACTTGCTCTAAACAGTTTCCTGTACCCTTTAACCTGTCTTCAGAAGTTGCATAGAGTTACAGTAGCGTGTAAATTAAATATTGTGGACAATTAGTCTTGTATTTTTCTGTATGTGTGTGTATATATATACATATGTGTGTATATATATATATATATAAAATATGTACTTCTGACAATTCTATCTGTATTTAAAGATGTGACAATCTTGACACCGACTTTAAGAATAGCCGTGAGACTGAATCAAATTAAAGGTATTTCTACCACGTAAGCGCTGATGTGTGTGAAGCGTATACAGAATGATCAACTGATTGGTCATTTGCGTCCACTGCGGGTTGATTTTCCTCGTCGTGTGAACATGGACAGGTCTGTGACAAGTGGGAGAAAATCCAAACAATAAAGTGGCAGATTGGTGTTCAGCAATAGAACGGCGTCCCGTTCCGTTTCTTCCGTGTCCCGCCCCTCGAGGGGGTGGCATCGCGCTGTGGCAGGTGCTCAGGAGCCGGGTGGGAGGAGCCCAGGCGCCCCTCACTGCTCCACGCCCCGTGGTCCTATTGACTGGACTGTGGAGACCTCCGGGACGATGCCGTCCCTCTCCACCCTCACGCGGGGCAAGAGGTGTTCCCCGCAGTTTGGCCGTTGGTGTGTGGCTTCGTGATCGACTATAAGATGTGGAGGTTTGATGGCAGTTTCCCTTCAGCCTGTGACACCCATGTCGCCAACAAGGTCAGAAATCACGGCCTCCCTCCCACAGTGCTGTGAGCTTCCTCAGGGGAAGGGGACACAAGCTAAGTGTCAGGCCCCGCCCTACCCATTGCCATCGCGGTTACACCTGGGAGTGCTGGGGCCCAGGCAGGAGGGGCAGAGCTGGGTGGGTCCAGGTCTGCTGACCCTGGAGGGGGGCAACCCCACCCCCAACCCCCAGTCTCCAATAGGCACAGGCCTGATTTTTCCACTGATTTTTAGAGAGAGAGTGGGAGGGAGGGCGACAGACAAAAACACCCTGTGAATGGGCAGAAAGATCAGCCGATGGGGCTCACATCTGGAACCCGCTGCCCCACACCCACTGTGCTCACGTGACTGGGGGAGACGGTGAGCTGGGTCTGAGGCGCCCAGGCTGGGATGCAAGGAAGCTCCTGGCTCAGGACCGTAGTGGCGGGGACCACGTGCTGGTTTAAATCACGATAATGTTCTAGAAGGCATTCCTTAAGCTGCAACCAACCACTGACGGCGGACATGGGCCTTGATGCCTCAGACCAAGCAGAGGCAGACATGCTGGCAAGCGCAGCGGCCTGGCAAAACCAGCTGGGCAGCCAAGAGTGGCAGATGGGGGCTGGCTCCCAAACACATGATGCTTGACAGGCTGAGGCCACCCCCATCCTGATGTGGAGGGACTCGGGGGGCCGGCCCTGAGGGAGGGGACTGGTCTAGACTGAAGCCCTCATTTCCCCCTGCTCATCCGCCTTCCCCAGTTGCCGAGGCACCTGCGTGGAAATGCCCACGGCCCAGTGTCCCAGTGGACATGCGCTGCGGGGAGGGGGGCGGGAGGAGGGGGAGGTGGGTAAAATGGGGGGGTTTCACAGGCAGAGTGTGCACAGCTGGCAGAGAAAGGAAGCCAGGCCCTCCCTTGCAGGTGGTCCTCGTGCCTCGACCACAGGCGGGGAACAGCGGACTCCAGTCGCTGCCTTGTCCGGAGGGCCAGACCACGGTGACCCACACTATGCCTGAGAGTGGTCCAGCCCCATGGCACAGCTGGGGGGTGCAGCACCCCTGGGTAAGGTCCCTCCTCCGCAGGCGTCAGCCACACCAGGAGTCAGGTGTGGCCGCTGGCTCTCCACCTGGTGCCCTGTACATGGAAGCAGCCCCCGCAGCCCTTGCCAGGCTCCCGGGGCAGCAGGGCCTCCCGAGAACCACCCAAGCTTTGGAAGTGGCACCAGGTGCCCAGCTCCACGCTCAGCTTCACCTTGACGAACCTGCCCCCAAGCTCCTCCCAGAACCCCGGGGGCCATCGCGGTCCACGCATGGAAGTAGGAGCCAGAGAGGTGTTTTTAATAGCTGATACTATTGCTTCTGCTGATAAAGTGTCTTAACATATTGGAAAATAGAACCAGGAGAGAGGTAGAGTTGTCGGGAATTGGAAACCCTGCCTCTTGTCTACCCCTCGCTCTGAACTGAGGCTGGGCAGAGCCCCCTTCAGCATGGCTCGCACCCGGGCCGCCACCCTGCCCCACGGATCCCTGGGTGGTGGGGGTGGGGGTGACCGTCTCCGTGAGGGGCACCATGGAGAGCTGGTGGTTGGTCCACACGAGAGGCTCAGGGCAGCGGGCGGAGTGCAGTGTGTGGAATGGAGTGTGGGGCTGGGGCAGAAACCTGGGTGGGGGGGGAGAGGGGTGATGGGGGGAGCTGCCAGGAGCTGGGTCCCAGCCGCCCTCTTCGCGGCCCTGAGCTGGGACAGTGCTGGGAGGAGTGGGTGCTGCCACGGGGAGCTGCTTCCTTCTGGCCGAGCCTTGGATCTGGGTTTGGAGCCGCTCGGCCCCTCGGTGCCCCTCTGCTAGTTCAGGCCGCCTTCTTTCTCCTTCCCGCCTTCCTCCTTCAGGTTCTCAGCCACCAGCTTCATTTGCTGTTGAGAGAACACAGGGTGAGCCACGCTAGCCGGAGTGGTGGCACCTCGGTGGTGGCAGGGCTCCCACCTTCTGCAGGAGGCCCTGGGCAGCGTGTTCCTTCGTGTGTCGAGGCACCCGAGACGCTGTGACCCCGGATGCGCCGAGGCCTCCTGGAAGTGCCTGGCCCCCGTTTCTGACCGGATGAGATGGGGCCCAGGAGGGTGGGTGGGAACGGTGAGTCAGCCCGGCGGGATTTGGAAGGTCCTGAAAGGAGAAGCAGCCGGCCTGACCTGCTTCCTGGACCCGGGATCCGAGGAGGCAGCGCAGGGACTGAGCGCGGACAGGCCACGTCCCCGCTCTGCCTCTTGAGCTGAGCGAGCGTGGCCTTTGACCTCTGTGAGCTGGTGCCACGTCTGCCCTGGGGCAGAGTCTGCAGGTGGCTGTGGGGATTCCTGTACACAAGGTCCCTGGTCCAGAGCAGAGGCCCCCAAACAGCGATTTTACTAGCCTTTCGTCCCTACAGCCACAGCGCCCAGCACCCCCATCCAATGCCACGGGAACAACCTATGCAGTCCCCCTTCCCAGGCCAGCCAGGCTCAGAGGGAGGGGCCTGCCCCCCAGGGTCGAGCTACCTGGGGAGGAAGTCCTGCGCTCCACCTGGGGCCCCGCCGGTCCCAGCCTCCTCTGTTCCAGGGGTGCTGCCAACAGGACTACCAACTACTCTGGGATTTCGCTTAAAACACAGGCAGAGATTTTTGATAACAACTGTTTATGGGAAAAGCAGAACTCGGAGACCCACTGCTGGTGCTCTGGGAACCCCGCTGCCCCTTTTGGAGCCCGTGTGCCACGTGGACCTGGACGTGGCACCTGCTCCCTGGCTCTCGGGGGAGGAAGCCCTTCCACAGACTGTGAAGCAAAGCCTCGGCCTCCCCTTCACCCCGGTCTCCCTCTCAGGAGGCCCCACTTCCCGGGGCCGGCTCTGTCTCCACAGGGCAGTGCAGAGATGGGCTCCCCTGGAGGCCGACCCCCTCCATCAGGGTTGAGGGGGCGGCCACATGGAAGCTGGGTCCAGGGGATGGCGTGTGATGGGAAGGGGGCCGGGCGGGGTCACAGTGACCAGTCTGCAGGCCGAGAGCAGAGAGTGGCTTGAGAGGGACACTGGCCCCAGGACGTGCCTGCCCCCTCCCCAGGGACCGCAGCCGCACTGTGGACATGCAGACCGTGGAAATGGCTCACAAGCCGGACGGAGAAACAGAGCTGCGTGCCCCAGTCTCCCAGGAGCGACTGCGCGTCTGTGCCGTCTGTCACTACACTCCCTGTCCGCACCCAGCCCATTCGGCCTGTTGGCTCCTGAGGTGAAAGATCCCCAGAAAACAAACATTCAGCCGATCTTCGAGACCTTAAAAAGTCATTTTTTTATGAGAGAGAGACTATAAATCTATTTCCAGATTTGACAGGTAACCGTAAGAAGTTGTTTAAATTGACGAAACTAGAACCATCGAAGACAACATTCCCTAGCTTGTCCCAGAATCTTCCAGCCGCACTTCCCCAGCGTCACACGGGGAGGAAAATCAACATGGGTTGGATCAAATGTGTTCCGATTTAAAGGAGCGTTGGAGGCTCTTTGTGAGGTGCAGCTGCTCCCTCCCTCCCCCACCCCCATTCATGTGGGTGGCTGTGCTGGGAGCCCCTGGGCATCAGGCAGCACTCCTGCAGGGGCCGCCGCTCGAAGGGGCTGGGGGATGGGCCTGTTTGATGGATTCTCTCCCCAGCACCACCGGCCCAAAGGGTCTTCAGTGGAACTTTGTGGAGTTGCCCCTTCTCTCAGGCCCAAGGCTGGCTGGCAGGGGGCTACCCAGGCCAGGAGGAGGCACTCAACACCCTCTTCGCTGGGCTCCTTCTCACCTGCAGTGCCTGCCTGCGCAGGACAGATCCTAAGAGAATGGGCATGTCAGGAGCTCACAGGTCATCTACACTGAACTGCACTGCTCACAGCAAAGGCAGAACGCTGGCCACAGCTCTCCCAGGCCTCAGGCCAGGTGCCAGGTTCCATCTGCACAGAGCACCTGCCTGCACTCCGGCCCCTCCTCCCGCCCTAAAGCAGGGCTGCTTGGAAGCCAACCAGTGGTCAGTTGTGTGTTGGGCCAAACCTCCCCAGCCCCTCTCTCAATGGCTGGGCCCCAAAGGGAATGTCGCCTGGGGGCCTTCGCCAGGCTGTGGGAGGGACTGGGGCCTGTACCTCTGTGGTCCCTTTTGAACAATTTAGGATTCTTAAATTAAAACCTCCTTAAACGTAAGCAGGATAATGGTGCTCACTTCTTTCCTACAAAAAGCATCAGATGGAGAATAAATCCTCCCCAACTCATGACTCATTAAACACTCATGTTCCAAATCACCCTTTAAACAGCACAGACTGATTTTTGGCATCATTATTAGTAATGATTATAATAGGAACCTAGTCACTAAGTGTTGGCCAGAGCGCAGCTGAACCTGAGCGCGTGCGTAACTATACACACCTGTTCCCCGTGGAGGAGGAGGAGAGAGATGGTTTGAGACCTGGGATGCTTCCCCAGGCCTGGGCAGCCCTCCCCTTCCAGGCCTGGGCAGACCCTCCCTGGCCGGGCCACAGCCAGCACTGGAACCACCCATGCACAGCACTCAGGAGATCATGACCAATCATTGACATCGTTACCCAATTTGAAATCTGTTAGCAACTACTCCGTTACCCCTCCCCCAGAGCAACAGCGACCTACAGAGGGTCTCCAGCTGTGCCTCCCTCTCCCTGCTCCTGGGGGCCTCACTGCAGCTGGCTCTCTCAGTGG